ATTTTCATAAAGATTTCAGATTTGGTATTAATCACATATTTTGGGTACACAAATAACTGAATTCACTGTCAAAATAATGAACCCAGCCAGCTGCACATGTTTGTGATCCCAGCAACTTGGGAGGCTAAGATAGGAGGATCCAGAGTTGAAAGCCAGCCTTAGCAACATAGTGAGGCCCTAAGCAACTCAGTGAGACTCTGTCTCTAAAAAAAATATAAAAGGGGCTGGGGAAGTGGCTCAGTGATTAAGCCCCTCTGGTTCAATCCCTGGTACCAAACAAACCCAATTTCTCAATTCCAAATATAAACCTTATTATTATTTTAACAATTATCACCTTTTTTTTACACATGTGAATGTAAGCTCCATGCAAACCACAACTTTTTAAATAAGCTAATGTTCACAATATATTTCTTGGTCCTGGTTTGTAAATTAGCACATAGAAAAATTAAATGAGGCTGGGTGCAGTGGTGCACACCTGTAATCCCAGTGGCTTGAGAGGCTAAAGCAGGAGAACCATAAATTCAAAGCCAGCCTCAGCAACTTAGCAAGGTCCTAAGCAGCTCAGCAAGACCCTAACTTTGAATAAAAAACAAAAGGGGGAGGGGGCTGAGGATATGGCTTAATGGTCAAGTGCCCCTGGGTTCAATCCCCAGTACCAAAAACAAAACAAAAAAAAATTAAATGAACTTTGTCAAGCGGAAAGGATAGTAATAAAATTAATTTTTCTCCTGTGAAGCCTAACTCAACTGTATACATAGCTTACTATATTCCACTCTTCAAACCTTAGTACACAGAACTGAGAATATAGAATTCTGAGAACTAAGGAAGCATATAAGCTACTACAGTTTGTTAAGAAATAAGTGATAACTTGGTCTTTTCTCCTTACATACACATAAATGAGTACAAACAATGAATGACTTATACAACAGTGTTTACCAACACTAAAGAGGAATTCTGGAGCTTGGTGCTGTTTCTCAATGATTATTATTTCCTGAGTAGATCAAAATCCATAACATTATTTTAAGACTTTATTATTAATCCTTAAAAGACATTTTTTTTTTTAGTCTATACCTTAGAAGACGACTTTACTCATATTTCACAAAAAATAACCAGGAACTATTATCAGTAGCAGTATAAGGTAAGCAATCTATAAGGGAGTTAAGAGTATCTTTTTTAACAGACAGATAAAGAAACAAAGTAGAGGGAAACTGGGTGACTTGTTCAAGACAACACAAGCGAAGCAGGGATGTGAAGCTAAGATTTTATTTTTGGAGTGGGTGGTATTGGGATTGAATTCAGGGGCATTCTACCATTGAGCCACATCCCAGCCCTATTTTGTATTTTACTTAGAGACAGGGTCTCACTGAGTTGCTTAGTGCCTTGATGTTGCTAAGGCTAGCTTTGAACTCATGATCCCCTTGTGCCAGCCTACTGAGCTGCTGGAATTACAGGCATGTTCCACCACACCGGGGGATAGGCAGATGGTAAAGCTAATATTTTGTCCCCCCAAAACGTCATAATACCTGACCTCATCTCAAAGAGAAAAAACAACAAAAACCCCCTTTCTTTATCATGTCCATTATATCAGGCTCCAGATCTCACTGAAACCTAGACATTCCTGTATCAATTAGTTACCCCAGCCTCCCACTGCCATAATTTCAACTTGTTTCTTCCTTTCTCCTTCCAAAAATCTAAGGTCATATTTAAAACAAAATAACATAATAACAGCAAAAAATATATATGGAGAGTTACAAGTTTACCTCCTAATTAGTGATACCTAAACCTTTGCTCTGACAGGAGACAAGATTTAAATTAGGGGAAATCTTAGTGATAGATTTTTTTTTTTTTTTAATGGTACTGGGCCTTGCTCATGCTAGGTAAGTGCTCTACAACTGTGCCACAACCCAAATCCCTTTTCAATAGAGACAAGGTCTCACTAAGTTGCTCAGGCTGGTCTCCAACTTGTAATTCTCCTGACTCAGTCTCCTGAATAGCTGAGATTACAGGAATGTAACATCATGATTGGTTCGTATCTTTCCCTTCTAATCACAAGATAACACCTCACTCTGTTTGATCAATTTGCCTTTCCTTCAGGTATTCTATGGTGGTGTTTGAAACTACAGCATTCATACTACTGTCATTTTTAGAATAGCCTCTTACTCTTATGACTATTTCTCCCTTTCTAATGCATAGTAGAGTTAATTAAGCATTTTGTTTCCAATGTTCTTAGTGGCTATCTTCATTAAAGTACTCACTATGTTTATACATTTATCTTCTATATTAGTGTCCTGAGGACAGGGAATATATATGTTATTCATCTTTAATTACCTGAGTTATTCATTTAGAATACCTCTTAGATGCAAGCCTTATTTATTCTCATTGCCAAAATCTGATTTCACATCTAACTTACTTCATACTGTGTGTTATCTTACACAGAAGTATTTTATATTATGAATTAAATTTTCATCTCACTTAAACTGTTTGAACTTTCTTGCTATCTCTTTTTGGTATTGTAGTTAAGTGCCATTGGGTTCAATCCCCAATACAAAACAAATAAAACAAAAAAATCTTCCGGGTTGTTTATATCAAAACCAGTATAAATTAAATTCCTTTTTTTTTTTTAATTGAAGCCAAGGCCTTAGACCACTATGCTATATCCCCTATCTTCTTAAAATTTTGAGACAGGGTCTTATTAAATAACTCAGGCTGGCCTGGAACTTGTGATCCTCCTACCTCAGCTTCTTCAGTAGCTGGGATTATAGGCATGAGTCACAATGTCCAGCATAAAATTCTTAATATCATCTTTTGTTAGTCTTCATCTTTTGTCTGGGGCAAGGGTGGGGGGTGGGGTGGGGGGGCTAGAGGGATTCTTTTTTTTGAAGGGGTGCATTATAGTTGTACATAATGCTGTGATTTGTTTTTCTTTTTTAATATTTGTTTTTTAGTTATAGGTGAACATAATGTATTTATTTTACTTTATGTGGTGCTGAGGATGGAACCCAGTGCCTCACTCATACCAAGCGAGTGCTCTACCTCTGGAGCCACAACCCCAGCCCTGTGATTTGTTTTTAAATATTCATATATGCACACAATAATATAATTTGGCCAATGCCACTCCCTAGCACTTCGCACCTCCCGACCCCTGGTCCCTTTGAAAAAGGACTGGGGATGTAGCTCAGTAGTAAAGTAAGTGCCCCTGGGTTCAATCCCCAGTACCAAAAAAAAGTGCTGGGGATGCAGCTTAATGGTAAAGCAACCCTGTATTCCATCTCTAGCATGTATTTATGTTTCTGTATATCTATCTAGCTACCACTCAATCAGGTAAGGAAGCAAGCAATGTGTTAATCTATGAATAGCAGAACAGACTACAGGGAGGTAGAAACTAGTTGGAGGAAGCAGTTTACTAGGGGCAGGCCCTAGAAAGGTTTTTCTTTTTCAGATCCTTTCTTCTCTCTGCTTCTGGCTACTGTGAGCTGGGCAGCTTTCCTCCCCCATGCTCTTCTGCCATGTTTCTGCTTTGGAGCCAGCTGACCATGGACAGAATCTCCTGAAACCCTGAACCAAAATAAATCTTTCCTCTTTTTAGTTGTTCTTGTCTAGCCTAAATTTTGTCACGGCTTTTTGAATAGTAGCTCTCAAAACTTCTGTTAATGCTTTGCACTCATAAAATTATTGGGGATCCCGCAGGTTTTTGTATGTTGTAACTAATGATATTTACCATGTTAGAAGTTAAAACTTAGAAACTGTATGAAAGTATGTTATAATATAAAACATTTAAAATTTTAAACTCCAATATTTTCCAAACTAAAAAAAGCTTTTTGCTTTTCTTTTTAATGTACGGTTTAATAGAAGACAAATGTATCTATGACAACTTCTGCAATTTCATATAGACTCTAGAAAACTACACTGTATACTCAAGTAAGTGCCAAGAAAAGGAAAAAACTTAGTTTTACATCATTGACATGACTATTTTAAGACAAACTTCTCTTTATAGAAATATGGAGAAAAGAATAAAAGTTAAACTGTAAGAAGCAAACAGATAAATTCAGAATTATGACATTCCTCAAAATAATTAATCTAAATTCTTCAGTGAATTAATGGCATACAGAAAATGAAGGTAACGGGCTAAAACACAACAAAATATCTTCTGTGAGCCTTGATGGAACCTATTTTAAAGATGAACTCTAAATAGATATCACTGAAACAATGGGAAAAATATCTGAATACATTTAGGGTATATGATCCAGAAATTAATGTTAATTTTCTCTGGTATAATATGGGTATGTTAGAAAGAACTATATCTTTTTAGAGATGATGAAGTACATAACTGGTAAAATGAAATGATAAGCCCTAAACAACTAGATTTCAGGTTTTAACTGGATAGCTCAAAGAAATAATCTGTCAGCATACATGAACTAACATGGATAATTTAAACCATAATAAGCTATTAATTTATACCTTAATTATTGTTGGTAGTCATATGCAATTTAATAAATTAACATACCGAATCAAGCCATTCAGAGAAAAATCTGTGAACAAATTAATCTGACAAAGCACTAAGCTATGTATGCAGTAGGAGGGAATGAGAGCTCAGATGAATTAATAGGGGATTGCAAAGTAGGTGATGAGAGTATGGTTTTAAAAATAAAGTATGTCGGGAGCTGGGTTCGTGGCTCAGTGGTAGAGTGCACAGCTAGCATGCATGAGGCACTGGGTTCGATCCTCAGCACCACGTAAATGTAAAATAAAGATATTGTGTCCTCCTAAAATAAAAAATAAAATTGAAAAAAAAAAAGTATGTCTCATAATAAAGTTTTAAGAGAATGCAAGGAGGAATAGAATAAATTGATAGTTCTTTTATCTTTGCCCTTACATGCCTTGCACATACCTCAACACTTCCCCCTCCCAAAATCTTATTTGGTATACTTGGTTCTATTGTTCCCTTTGGCATGGTTGGATGTTACGGAGCTTGGGTACCTTTAACAGTTAGAAAGACTTACACTGGTCACTCGACGGTAGATCTGCGCAGCATTTTGGCATTCCGAGTATGGATATTCAGATGTAGCCATCTCAAGCATGCACATCCCAAAAGCATAAACATCAACGGACTCATCATATTTCTCCTCATACATTTCAGGGGCCATGAACTCTGGAGTACCTTAAATTAAAAGAACGATTCAGACTCAATGCAAGCAGAAGACGCAGTTGTTACTCACCAAGGGGAAGAAGCACTGGGGTTGACCTGTGAGAGAGAAGAAATTGGGAGAGGAAAAAGAGGAAGGACATCTTCTTAGTCAGTCTATTCCATCCAATATCTCATAGAAGATCTTCCACTGTAAGGCCTTTATAAGAAACTTAACAGGGTAAATAACTGATTATTTATGTATGGTTTAAAATGGATCCTTATAATTCAATGTCAGAGCACAGTCTTGGCTAAGAGATAAACTAATATAACATACAGAAAATAAATGGAAGGAAGTGGTAAGAAACTAGCAGGGAACAAAGCAGATATAATGGCTTCTACTTATATATGATGGATTAAAAAAGATTAAGTATTTGTCTGCCCCCTACTGTACAGTAACTGTAAAGTGAACATTTACAGATAAGTCTCATGTCATTAACACTACACCTAATCATTTTCACTTTTAAAGGAGGCCTTGCAGTGAAAAACCAATGTGCAATACATTTTTAAAGATAATAAAATAAAATGCAATTGATTATAAAGGTCACTCACTGGAGCCCTTTATTTCACATACTTACCATTAAACCTGCAGTATACAAACATAATGCAGATACAGGAAATAGAGTGAGGGACATCCTAGAGGCAAAAAAAACCCCCAAAATATATGCATGCACAAATATAGAACTCAAATACAGACTGGTTTATGGGCAAGAGTGTGTAATCCCACAGGACTAGGTTTTGCAATGCTTTTGAATAATTAAGTCTTCCATTAGGTAAAAACAAAGAAAATAAAAATTATCTTGGGCCAGGGATTTCTGGTGAAGATGGCAAAAAGGAAATCAGCTTCAAATAACTTTTTTCCATTCATCATGTTAATTATTATAAGAAAATGTAAAAATAGCATTTCAAATCCTAGTTATTAACATTCCAAGGAGCACACTGTTGTAAGCAAATTACATCAGTAATTTGCCTTTCCTATTAATACTTAGGATTCAACCTACTTAATAATCAGTTAATTTCTTTTTCACTATTATGCCCTTTTTGTGTGGCGTGAAGTAAAATGTCTGTGAAGGTTTCAAGTTAAATTATGATAATTGCTTCAGAGAGCTCAAAACATATTTTTTTCAATTATGACTAACACGTGATTAAAAGTTTGAAAGGATAGCCTTATTCTTTAGATCATTTATCCTCAAGAAGGAACAGTTTTTCCCCCCCAAAGAGCAATGTCTACAAACATTTTTTTTATTATAACAACTAAGAGTAGGTGGACAGAAGGTGTTACTGCTGGTATTTTGTGGGTAAAAAGCAGAAGGATGCTGATAAATAATCCTAAAATGCACAAGACAGTTCCTTACAACAATTTTCCATCCCCAAATGTCCATAGTACTAAGGTTGAAAAATCTATTTTGGATACTTGTAATTTTGGAAAAGTGGAAGTTAGAAAACAATATATAAAATCAACTTTTCAGAATAAACTGTCATATTTTCATATATTTAAGTAAAGTTTTAAAAAGACAGGTCTTTTCAAATACATACCCAATGTACATTTTTTATGTCAAACTATATTTCATTTCATTAACAAAGAAAGTGATATACTAAACATACTATATAAATAGTACACAAAATATTAAGTATCGAGAGAATGATTCAATAAGGTTGATACATGAGGTTTTGTCAACAAAGTTCACCTTACTTCCCCCCATGTAATTTACAAAACACCAATAATCTTAAAAATGATTATAAAAGCATAAATATACAGAACCCCACATTTCATAAGTAGAAATGATCACCTTCTAGGTTCAAGCTATAAATTTCTGAAGGTTTATTTCATGTCAGAAAAGTTCTGACAGGGTCAGGTGTCTAAACAGAAGTAATGTCAGAAGGCTAGACAGGCTCCAAGGTACACTTGAAACATACCTATCACACTCTTGGCAAAAGAAGCTCGCTTCAGGGTTGCCAGGCCAAGGTCTCCAATCTTAACTGAGCCTGTAGGGCCAGTGATAAAGATATTGTCACATTTAAGATCCCGGTGAATAATAGGTGGAGTTCGAGTGTGAAGAAACTGAAGTCCTTTAAGGATCTGCCGGCACCAGCTTCTTAGAACTTTGATCTTCATCACTTTAAACCTTTTCAGGTACCTGGAAAAGGAAAGTACACCAAAAAGGTTATCAATGATATGAGTGTTCCTTTGAAGAATTCCATTAAATTCTAGCATACTTGAGATGGGAATATCAAATTTAGAATATTAAGATTCAGTAACCTGGTTAGCGATACTTTTAGAAAGGTTAAAGAGTTTGAAATAAAAATTCTATTAAAAAAACAGAAAAATAATTCTTCTAAGTACTTTTTCATCTGAACAGCTACAGTATTAGGTAACTAACTTTTTTGTAAACGAATAGGAGATCAAGTTGGCTGTATCAGCATTAGCAATAACCAACTATTTTAGAGAACAAAATATTTATTTAGCAGTTGGAAAGAAAATCTCAATAATAAAACACAAAAATGAATTCCTTAAAGTTAGTTCTGCCTATTAAAATGACTAAGAGGTAGAGTTCTACTTCTGGTAATGATGTAGCTCCTAATTGTTGTAAATGTATTCATAAATTCTAGTAAAAAATATACAAAACAATGATTTGATGGTGTTGAAGAGCAATCAAACTCAGTCACAATTTGGAGGTGAATTCAATCAAGGATGAGGAAAAGCAATGCTTGAGATTCCTACTTTCTATACCTTTTCACTGGAGAGAAGGTCCCAGTATGACTATAAGGTCAGCTAAAATCAAGATAAGAAAAGACAGTTTAGGATCCGCAGCATCAAAGACATTGTTGTCCACCAGAACTCTGCCAGGACAGTCTGCTCAAGAAAGTATCCACTATCCAAATGTGACAATTTACATTTAAATGTAGAGTAACTAAAATAAAAAATCCTGTTTCTCAGTTTTAATAGCCACATTTCAAATACTCAAAAACCACATGTAACAATTGGTACACTTTTAGACAATGCATATATTAGGAAATTTCCATCACCTCAAAAAGTTCTATTGACAGTGGAAATCTTGAAAGAAGAAAATTCCAAAAAGTAGAAGCAGATTCTGCATATCTCTCTGCCCAAATCTCTAGTTGACCTTTGAAATACGTATATTTGAGACACAGTCTATGCAACCCAGGCAACGCTAGCAGAAAGGAATAGAAATTTCTAATGCTACCCATTGCAGATAAGATACAGTCTGGGTAATGCATTCTGATGCACATTTTATTGGAAACATAAAGGGGGAAAATGAAGAGCACTAATAATGTTAAACATACAAGATTAGATTTTCCTCTTACAATCTTTAAAATATATTAGACTACTTAAAGGAAAATCTCCAACATTTTGGGAGGGCCTATAAAATATGTAAGTGCATTATATGAAAATCACAGTATCAAGAACAAGAATCAAAAGGAATAAGAATAATGAATTGTGTAAAGGTTTTTTAATATTTTACATGAAAATGCACAGTATGAACACTAAATTGTGAAGAGTTAAGAATATAAATGCGATCTCCACAGTAATAATTCAATTTTTGAAAAAAACCTGAAAGGCTACCAGTGGAACTAAAATGAAATTCTATTTCATTTGCAAGGAGTTATTACACTGACAAAAAGGGCTGTCACTTGCCTAGCATATGTGAGGTGCTGGGTTCGATCCTCAGTACCACATTAAATAAATAAATAAATAAATAGATGTATTGTGTCCAACTACAACTAAAAAAATTTTTTTTTAAAAAAAACTAACAGAAGGTAGATTTTACAGATTAAAAATACATTAAAATATTATAAATACATATGCATCCAATATCAGAGCACCTAAACATAAAGCACATATTAAACCTAAAAGGGGGGGGGGGACTTTAACAACATAGAAGAAAAATTTAACACCAAACTTTTCAGCAATAGACATAACATACAGGCAGAAAATCAAAGAAACAGCAAAGTTAAACTTCACCTTAAGACCAGAGTACATATTCTCTTAAATAGCATGGAACATTCTCCAGGATACATCATATAGTAGGCCACACAAAAAAGTTTCAACTGTTTAAAAAAATTAAAATCCGAGTATTTCTTTCAACCACAATGCAGTAAAACTAGAACTCAAAAACAAAAAGAACTTTGGAAACTATACAAAAACATGGAAACTAACGTACTTCTGAACAATTAGTAGGTAGAAATTAAAAAGAAAATTTAAAATGTCTTGAAATAACGAAAATGGACATAACATACCAAAATGTATCGGATGTACTAAGAGGTAAATTTATATAAATCAATGCCTACATCAAAAATGCGGAAAGGTCGCAAATTAAAAACCTATCAATATACCTCAAGGAACTAAACAAAACAAGAACCAAACCAAAAACAAGTAGAAGAAACTATGAAGAACAGAAACAAATGAAATAAAGACAAAAAAATTAAAGATTAATAAAAAAATTGTTTTGTTTTGTTTTTTAAATATAAATCAGTTGGGTGTGCTGGTGCACATATAATCCTACTGACTTAGGAAGGCAAGAAAAAAGGATCTAAAGTTTGAGGGCAACTCCAGCAACTTAATGAGACCCTGTCTTTAAAATTAAAGGAGCTGAGGATATAACTTAGTGGTAGACTGTCCAGAGTTCAATCCCCAGTACTATCGAAATAAAAAAACAAAAATAAACCAAACTGATAAACTCTAGAGAGATTAAAAAAAAAAAAAGACTAAACAACAGCAAAAGTCAGAACAAAAAGGAGTTATTACACTGACACAGTAATACAAAGGATCATGGGCTAGAGTCATGTGGCTCAGTGGTAGCATGCTTGCCTAGCATATGTGAGGCCCTGGGTTCGATTCTCAACACCGCATATAAATAAATAAAGGTCCATTGACAACTAAAAAAATATTTTTAAAAACGCAAAGATCATAAAAGACTACTAGGAACACACAACAAATTTAATAACATAGACAAAATGGACAAATTCCTGCTGAATCATATACACTTTACCGAGACAGATCATGTTCAATTGGGATTCATCCCAGGGATTCAAGGACATGTCAACATACACAAATCAATAAACGTGATACACCACATCAACAAAATGAAGGACAAAAACCATATGATCATCTCAGTAGATATAGAAAAGGCATTTGATAAAACTGACTTCCCTTCATATTTAAGAACTCTGTACAAATTAGGAATAGAAGCATTATACCTCAACCTAATAAGGGTTACATATAAAAAGTCCACACCTAACATCATATTGAATGGGGAAGAGCTGAAAACTTTCTAAGACCTGCAATAAGAGAAGGATGCCCACTTCCACTTTTATTCAACCTAGAATGGGAAGTCCCAGATATGGAAACCAAACCAAAGAAAGAAAAAGAGTATCCAAATTGAAAAGGAAGAAGTCAGATTGTCATTCTTTGCAGATGGCATGAACTTAGACCTAGAAAGCCCCAAAGACTCTAAAAAACCGCATTAAAACTAATAAATGAATTTGGCAAAGTTGCAGAAAACAATCAACATATTTAAAAAGCAGCATTTTTATACACAAACACTGAATTATCTGAAAAGAGAATTCAACAACGTAATTTCACTTACAATTACTACAAAAACAAAGCCCTGAAATCTGATATACCCAAAGAAGTGACAACAAAACTACACACTGAAAACTACAAAGCATTGATGAAAGAAACTGAAGAGACAACACAAAATATTGGAAAAACAGCCCTTGTTCCTGAATTGGGAATATCAATTTTGTTAAAATGTCCGCATACTGAAAGCAATCACTATATTATACACTCACTATCAAAATATCAATGATATTTTTCAAAGAACTAGGGAAAAAATCTTAAAATTTTATGTAAACACACACACACCCTCTGAAGAGCCAAAGCAATCTAGAGCAAAGAGAACAAAGCAGGGGGCATTATACTACGTGACTTCAAAACATATTACAAAGGTACAATAATCAAAACAGCATGCTACTGGTATAAACATAGACACTCAAAACAATGGAAGAGAAATAGCCTAAAAGAAAACCCACACATCTATAGCCAAGCTATTTTTGACAAAGTGCTAAGAACAAGCACTGGAGAAAGTACAGTCTTCAGTAAAAATTGCTGGGAAAATTGGATATCTACACACAGAAGAATAAAATTAAGGGGGCTGGAGCTGTGGCCTAGTGGCAGAGCACTTGTCTGCCATGTGTGAGGTCCTGGGTTCAATCCATAGTACCTCATATAAATAAACTCAAAATAATTAAAGATTTATATGTAAGACCTGAAACCATGAAACCACTAGAAGAAAAACACAGATGATACATCAAACAAAAGCTTTTGCACAGCAAAGGTAATAATCAACAAAATAAATAGGAAACCTACAGAATGGGAAAAGATATTGCAAACTATAGATCTGATAAGGGTTTAATTTCCAACTATTTGAGAAATTAACGCAATAACCCCCACACACTCCAGTAGCAAAGATTCCGATTAAAATATAGGCAACTGCCAGTGGATAAGACAAAGGGAAATGAAGAGAAGAGGAATAGAATATGAAAGACAGTAGAATGAACTGGACATAACTTTCCTATGTTCATATTTGAATACCGACTAGTATAACTCCACATCCTGTACAACTGCAAGAATGAGATCTTATTTAGAATAAGTCATACTCCATGTATGTATGTCAAAATACACTCTACTGTAATGTATATCTAAAAAGGACAAATTTAAAAAAAAAAATAGGGAATTGCCAGGCAGGGCAGCGCACGCCTATGATCCCAACAGATTCAGGAGGCTGAGGCAGGAGTACCACAAGTTCAAGGCCAGTCTCAGAAACTTAGTGAGGCCCTAAGTAACTTAGTAAGGACCTGTCTCAAATAAAAAATAAAAAGAATGGGGAGGGTAGCCCAGTGGTAAGGTGTCCTGGGTCCAATTCCCAGTAACCACCCCTCGCCCCCAAAAAAGCAATAAACTTATACAGGCATTTCTCAAAAGACATACAAATAGTCAACAGCTATTTGAAAAAATATTCAATATTGCCAGGCACAGTGGTGCACACCTGTAATTCCAGTGACGCAGGCAGTTGACATAGGAGAATCACAAGTTTGAGGCCAGCCTCAGGGCCTTATCAAGAACCTCAACAATTTAGTGAGACACTGTCTCAAAATAAAAAATAAAAAGAACTGGAGATGTAGTTCAGGGGTCAAGTGCCCTTAGGTTCAATCCCCAATATCCAACAAACCAACAAAAACACCTTAGTATTGTTAATCAGTAGGGAAGTGCAAATCAAAACCACAATGAGGTATCACCTTGCTCAAGTTAGAGTGGCTATTATCAAAAAGACAAAAGATCCAAATGCAGGCAAGTATGTGAATAAGAGAGACTCCATATATATTGTTGGTAGAAGTGTAAATTAGTAGAATCAGAATGGCAAACACTAAGGTGGTTACTCAAAAAAATCCACATCTCATTCTCTTTTTCTGCTTTCTGTTGCATTCGGATTTCTGTTACTCTTATTTACTGTTGCTTTTTACTGTTTACTAATTTACTGTTGATAAACCCTGAATTTTTAATTTTAATGATTTTTTTATTATTTTAGAAGTTCTTCTGATCTTTTTCAATTATGTTTGTCCTCCCCCCGCTTTAATGAAATCCTTATGGCTTCTATGCCTTATGGCTTCTATGTCTTCTTTTTATTATCTCCTTATGGCTTCCATGCCTTCTTTTTATACTTTATAAACTTTCATATATCTTCACTGACATTCTTATATAAATACTTATTATATCATTACTTTTATTCTTGTCCATGGTATCTTTAATTGCTGCAATGCTACTGTATCATTCTGTATGTTCATCTTTATTGGTGTGATTTATACTTTTATTGTGAGATCATTTTCTTTGGAAACTGTTTTATCCATGGATGGTGGGACCAGTGAACTATAAAAATTAACCTGGGAGGTTTTTTTGTGTTCTGGATCAATATGATATGCATTCTTTGGCTGGGGTTTCCTACACCAGCCAGGTACTATAAGCATATCATAGAACCATTTACATATGAAGTGGTAGAATATATAATAACTCAAATATTGGTAGCATGCAGAGAGGCAAATGGGGAAAAAGAAATACAAATTTCTATTTTTCATAGACTCCCCACTTATCCACAGTCTTGGGCAAAGGGGCAAAATTCTTTGTAGTTTTCACTGGCTGAGTTCTCCTTTTTGTGTATTAGTGAATTTAGAGTTTTTGTTTGTTTGTTTTTGACACAGGCTAAGTTCCAGCTCCCTTCTCTACTGATTTCTAAGACTTTTTGTCCTTAAATGGACATTAAAACCCTAGTAAAACTCCTTAAGCATCAATGTCTGGTATGAAATCCCAATAGACCGCTGAGACATCAGCTTCTGATTTGGCTCTGAGTTATCTTCTCTTTGCTTTTTATCTGGAGGTACCCTTTCCTTTTGAAGCTTGGGGTATGTATTGAAACAGCATATGTGGCTCAGTGGTTGAGTGTCCCCGAGTTCAATCCCCAGTACTCAAAAGGTAGAGGTTAGGGCACTTTTGCAATAAATTTCATTCTCATTTTAACCACTAGAGGGCTATCTTAACATCTGATTTCTGGCACCTCAGTTTTAGAAACACCATCAATGACTTAAAATAACTAGGTTTATTCTGCAATAACTTCTCATTTCAATAGTTACCAATAAATAATTATCAATTCACTTTTATATATCATAGAACTCTGTGGATACAAAATATGCAAGTATAATAATGTTTGGGAGGATTGTTCCTTCCTTAATATAAGGACTAAAATAATAAAAATCAAATCCTCTCACACTTCTTGGTCAACTTTTATAATACTGATGGACTTACGTTTTAAGTGTTCCAGATGTCATAAGCTCAGTCACCAAAACAATGCACTTCTTTCCTTTTACTGTGGATTCCCAGGAATCATAGAATCGAACAATATTGGGATGCTGAAGACCCTTTAACATTTCAGCCTCTTCTTTAAATCTCTGCCTTTCAGATTTTGTTAACTTTCGATCCTAAAATCAAAAAACAAAACAGAATGTAGTTTAAAATGATAAAACAAACACATGTCACAGAGTTAAATGCTAAGTATGTGCTAAATCTTGATCAACAGCATTAAAATAAAACAGAAACACTAACATTACTAATAACAGTTATTAGTCTGTCTTAACAGTAAGAGAACAGCTGGGCAGGGCGATGCAGGCCTATAAAGCCACGGGGCCTCCATAGTAGGCTGAGGCAGGAGAATCAGTCAGCCTCAACAATTTAGCAATGCCCTCAGCAACTTAGACCCTGTTTCTAAATAAAAATACAAAGAAGGGCTGGGAAAGTGGCTCACTGGTTAAGTGCCTCTAGGCTCAATCAGGTTAAGGTGTGCTTAAGAAAATTTTGGATTATAAAGTCATGCTTGAGATTATTTTAGTGTCTCTACTGTTAATTTGTGCCTCGGACACAATCTCATCTTATAAGGTACAGTTAACTTTTAATTTTCAAAATTGGTTGTCAATTGCTAGAGACAATCAATTTAATGACTTGGAAGGGTGTAGGTTTTGGAGACAGATTCAAATAAAAATTACAGTTCTATCTTTGCATTATTAATTAGAATTTTCTTTATGAATATATAACATCACTCACAGAATTGTTGTGAAACTTACAGAAACTCACAGGTATGCTTTCATCAGCTGTTTAAAATACCTGATACTTGACAGGAATAATTTCTTATCTCAGATAAAGTAGGAGAAAATCATTTAATTTATTTGTCCCTTGACAAACTAAATTGTTSTGAGAATTAAAATTGAAACTCTGTCTTAGCATACATAAAATAATGTCTGTTGTATTGTTAAATAATCCAACATTATACATTTAGCTTAAAGACCCCCCTGTGAGTAGCTTGCCCTCCTTATTCCTACTCTTTACCCTTGTATTACCACTATCCTGAATTAAGCCATCTGGGGTTTTATATATCATATGAAACACCTGAATATATCATAATTTGTGTAATCACCTACTGAGGAATCTTATTTGTTGCTAATACTGCAACAATGTTGCAACATTAATTTTCTTGAGCATGTATATATAACTGTCCATAGAATGTTTCTTTCTTTTCTTTTTTCAGTTGTAGATAGACACAATACCTTTATTTTACTTATCTTTATGCAGTACTGAGGATCAAACCCAGGGCCTCCCACAAGCTAGGCAACTGCTCTACTACTAAGCTACAACCCCAGGCCTTACAATAGTATTTCTTAATGTGTAGTCCATAGATTCATTTAAAGTAGGCTCATAAACTTGTATAAAAATAAATCTTTATTTTTTAATCTTGAATTAAAATTTAACAAACCCTTTAATTACAAATGTAAACAACTAATGACATTCAGCATGACCTGTGAATTTTGTCACCAACAGACCTAGATATTTTCATGTCACATAACAAGTGGTTATAGATTGTTCAAAAATCATTCATTAATTTGTTCAAAAATCATTAATTTGAAATGATAGTTATTAGACTTACTACTGGATCTCACCATGCATTAGATGCCTGCTGTGTCATAACTTTTTAAAAACTTTGATAACTTTAAATACAGTTTCCTTTGTAATCCTATATTTCTGCTGTCTGAATGGTTCATATTGAAATGCTAACCCCAAAGATGATGATAGGAGGGGCTTAGTGACCTCATCAAGAGCCCTTAATGGAGCCAGTTAATCCCATAGCTCCTTTTGCCATGAGAGAGTGCAGCAAAAGGCAGCATCCAAAGCAGAGACACACTGAACAGGCTGGTGCCTTGATAGTGAACTTCTTAGGCTCCAGAATGTAAGAAATAGACTTCCATTATTTACAAATTGACCCTATCCAAAGTATTTTATTACAGCAGCCTGAATGGACTAAAACATACTTCTGGTATGGAATACTCAACAACTTGATAGTATTAGGGATTAACTATTTTGTCAGTCTGATGAGTGTAAAATTATATCCTGCCGTCATTATTGAGCAATCTTGTTTTCTTTCCAAACTACTTAGGATTCCTCTTCTGTGAGCTGCCCACAGAAGACAAATTTCAAGTTTCTTTATCTGATTTGTAAGAGTTCTTCATTTATTCTGACACCAATCTTTTATTGGTTTTATGAATTACAAATATCTTTTCTCAATTTGTGGTTTGTATTTTCACCTTGCTTATTGATGTCTTCTGACTTGCAGACAGACTGAATTAAAGTTACATTAAAACATCTTTTACTATGTGGGAGGTGGGTTGTGTCATCAGTTCTAAACATTGAGGCCATGATTTTTCTTCTTTTCCTTTTTAAAATATCAGTTCGTTTTGTTTGCCATATTTGGGGGATCTACTTGTTGAGGAATTTATTTCACTAGGTAAAAGAGAGATTGGTTGTTACTTTTTTTCTATATCGTCAACCAATCCCCCGACCCTGACCCAATGAACAATTCTTTGTCTCCTGGCCACCACCAGTTTCCCATATTAAGTACAGTTTTATTTCTGGACTCTACATTTTATTTCAATGGTCTGTCTGTTCCGAGCTTTAAAATACTGCAGCCCTAGTAAGACAATTTCTGCTGTATCCTCTCCAATATAATCTTTGAAATCATCTTGGCTATTTTCCCATGAGGGAGAGTTAACTTTTAAAATATGGAAATTACAGCATAAGTCAATTAAAACCACTGGAATATGCTGGGTACAGTGGTGTGTGTCTAATAGTCCCAGTTATTAGGAAAGCCAAAGTGGGAGAATTGCTTCAAGAGTTCAAGATCAGTTTGGGCTTGTTTCATTGAGACACCATTGTCTAAATGAAATAAAAATAAACCCTATCAGAATATTATTAAGAGTTTTAATTTAAAGTATGTTACTTGGAATAATATAAAGACAGCATGTTCTTTTATTGAACATTTCCCCCCAAGTAACACATATTAAACAATTTTACTGAGGTATAATTTGGATATCACAAAAAATTGCAATTCCAATTGCCCCACCCTCATTTTATACATTTCCCCCTAATATTTTAATACTACCTCATTATTCCTTAAGTAATCACTTTTATAATTATCAATTAAACATTATATGCTTACTTATATTTACCATATATCTTTGCTCACCATTCCATTTTATTCCTACTTCTTTTTTCTGAGTTCAGTTTCTTTTTTTGAAGTGAAATCTATTTCTCAAAATCCTATCAGTGAATATCCATTAGTAGTAGAATCCTAGTCATATGAAAAGTTTATTTCATTCTCATTCTTGAATGATAGTTAATTTGGATGCAGAATTCTAGGCTGGTTTATTTTCTTTCAACATTTTCAAGATATTGTTTAATGCTTATTCTGGTTTCTACCATAGTTGTTAGTATAAATGTCGTTAATTGTAGGTTATGTTTACTCTCTGATGACTCCTTTTCTCTACTGTAACCTCTCCACCGTGCATCTAGTTTTATTTATATATAATGAACCTATTGAGCTTTTTAACCAAAGTTCTAAGTATTTGTCTTTTTAAAAGTCCGGAAAATTCTCAATTATTATCTCTTTGAATATGCTTCACCCCTTTTTCCTTCTCTTCTTTATAGGTGTGTGTGTATGTGTGTGTGTGAGAGAGAGAGAGAGAATGAGAATGTGTGTGACCTTATCCCATCCTATCATTTAACTTCTCTCTTTAAGCTTTTCTTTCAGCTACTTTGACAATGTTCTCAGATCTACCTCCTTATCCACTAATTTCCGTTATTATACTTAACCTGCATATTACCTCTTCCTTATCATTATTATTTTTAAGAAATATTTTTAGTTGTTAATGGATTATTTATTTATTTGTTTGTTTGTTTATTTATTTATTTATTTGTGGTGCTGAAGATCGAATCCAGGCCTCACACATACCAGGGAAGTGCTCAACCAGTGAGCCATAACTCYAGCCCCTCCTATTATTATTAATTAAACTTCAAAGGCAGGAGGGGTGCAAAGGATATATGGCAGGGTCTCAGCCCCTGCTCCAGGAACAAGGGATAGATAATCATATGCCAAACACTTCCAACTGATCCTATATGTCTTTGAGGACTGGGGTATATATTTGGACATCCAAAAGAAAATAAAACATAGGGTCAAGCAGTCAGTCTGTCACTAAAAATATCTATGACAGGGATAGATTAAGGGAACTCAACCCACCACTCCTTTCCCTACTCTCCCCATTAGCATCAAAAGCAAAGTTAACAGAGAAAAAGGAAGGGAAAAAAGGGGGCGGTGGGGGGGTGTGGACGGCAACAAAAAAGCCCCAAACTGAAAAGGGCTAGATACATTAAACCTTTCAGTAGGAGAGGAATTCTCTGGCCATCTCACAAGCTCCAAATGCCTAGGAGAGAGAGATTTGTCCTTCCCTCACTCAGCAGTAACTCTACACACGGAATTTTCAATTAGCCATGCCAATCAGTTGCAATGATCTCTTCCAACCTCCACTTTATTCCTGCTTTGTGAACAGACAAGTTTTTCCCCAGCATCCTCCTTGGAACTTTCTCTCTTTAGATCTTGCTCCATCTCAAAATACAACTGCAAGACTGACTTCCTCTCTCAAAGCTCCACAAAAACCCACTTTCACATCCTTTTATTACATTTATTCTAACTGTCCAGCAAAAGGCTGTGCCCTCTAACAACGAAAGTCACATTCCCTGCCCACTGAGACTGAGACTGAGATTCATAGCAGCACAGCACATTGATGCATCCTTGGTTATCACTGAAATCCTGTATTTCCCAAAGAAGAGATAGCCAAAGGACAAGTCCAAGCATCTGAAAGGTCAAATTATGGAGAAAAGTGGTAATTCTCAATTAGTATTTAATTTCAATGCATTTTTCATTTCATTATAAAATCAAGTATTCACTGCACTACCACTCCCAACAGCATCAATGTTTTAATTTAACTCTTTTGCTTTTTTTGTACCAGGGATTGAACTCAGGGGCACTTGACCACTGAGCCACATCCCCAGCCCTATTTTGTATTTTATTTAGAGATAGGGCCTCACTGAGTTGCTAAGT